GGATGGACACACTTGAAACTCGGACTTGGGGGGGGCAAGGGCAACATATGTAACCTAATCATCTGTACCCCCATAATATGCCGAGATTAAAAAAAAAAAAAAAAGAAAAAAAAGAAAGGTGAGGTGGCATAAATGACTGACCTGACTGGTAAGGGGAGTGGTATTCAAGGACTGATTAGAGCGAATTATGGTTAGTTAAGAGATTTAGGTTTTTTTTTTTTTAAGTAAACTTTTATTTGTAATATAACACACATAAAAAACAGTGCACAAGATTTTGCATGTATAATGCAAAAACCTTTGACCGAGTGAATACCCTGTGAAGCTGGCACCCAGAGAGAGCTGAATTTTGAATAACATATTGCTTGAAGTAATAGGTATGGAGTAGAGTAGAAATGGAGATCTTAAAGAAAAGGAAGTAGAAATGTAAGGGTGACATATCATTTGAAAATTCCAGAGTAAATATTGCCCAGAGATATGATACTTGAAAAACCACTTTTTTGTTGTTCTGCTGGAGTTTTAGGGCAACTTAATGAGCAGAATATGGAATGCTGATGTGTGTATTTTCTTTAAAAAAAATATTTAGAGACAGAGTCTTGCTCTGTCACCCAGACTGGAGTCTAGTGGCCTGATCATAGCTCAGTGTAACCATGAATGCCTGGGCTCAAGTGATCCTCCCGCCTCAGCCTCCTGAGTAGCTGGGACTATAGGCGTGGCCTCTATGCCTGGCTAGTTTTTATATTTTTTTGTAGAAGTAGGGTCTTGCTATGTTGCCCAGGCTGATCTTGAACTCCTGGCCTCAAGCAATCCTCCCACCTTTGCCTTCCAAAGTCCTGGGATTACAGGCATGAGCCACTGTGCCCAGCTTTGTGTGTGCGTATTTTATGCTAAACATCAAAACTTGAGCTCTTTATGAGTGAGGAACAAAATTTATTAAATTCATCAATTCAACTCTTATTATTAACAGTTTTAAAAAAATTCTATGGTAGCTGTTACTAGTTTTGAGGATTTATATACCGATTTTCACAAGATCATATCTAAAACAGTAACTGCACTCTTTCAAGAGGCTTCAGGTTCTTTTGATATTATAAGAATTATCAGGAAGAGTTTCTTAAGTTAATAATTGATTGTCTTTAACAGTAAGACTATAAGCTATGAGATTAGTGGGTTTGCTACTAGATATTTCTGGAGGATAGTCTATAAAGTAGTTGCTATTATTATCTCATTTTCCTGATGAGGAGATAAGCAGAGAGGCTGAGTAACTTGTCCATGGTCACATCCATTTAGTGGCAGAGCTGTGATTCAGACCAAAGCTGACTGGCTTCAGAGTATTTAATTAATAGGGTTGTTGTGAAGATTCTTTTTATTTTTTTCTTTTTTCTTTTTCAGATGCATCTGAACAAGCTAAAGATTCTTACTTAATATACCCTTTAAAGCAGTGCCTGACTCCATGAGCATATTAATTGTTAGGTGTCGTTAATGTTATTATTGTCATTGTAATTATTTCAGAGAGAACTGGTAGTCCACAGCAGTCTCCCTCCCCACAGGGGAAGAAATCTCACTGAAGACTGTATGGATGGATTGCACTCAGGCTATATATGTTTTAAAACACATTTTAAAACATTAATTTTGGCGCTTATTGAGGTAATAAATCTCTAAATCCCCAGGAAAACAGTTTCATATGTGTTTGAGTATCTAGAGTTTGTTTTCTGTTGAGGATGTAAGATAAATGGATTTTAACTGTTCTAATTCATGTTGTAACAGAATTTAAGCAGAATGGTGGTAAGCCCTATCTGTCTGTGATTACGGGGAGAGGAAACCACAGCCAGGGAGGAGTTGCTCGCATCAAACCAGCCGTCATTAAATACCTCACAAGCCATAGCTTCAGGTGAGTTGATTTCTGTTATAACGGCAGTTGCCCATATACCGCTAGGTAAACACTAATAGCACGCTCAGAATGACCCGTCAAAACAGCTCACTAAATTTAATCATCTAATTTCAGCCAAAAGTTTATGCTTAAATTATAATAAAACTTTCACTGCTGGACGTATTGTCTGGTAAACCAGAAATAGAAGATTGTTGTCAATAATCATCTGATAAAACTTTCTATTATTAAAATTCTAAAAGAAAGTAAATATATTTGTGTTTCTTTGATAATGTATTATCTGAGATAAATAGATTACACATATCATAGTTAAAGATTTGCTGTGTATTCTTTCGAAAGGAAATATGTTCGTGGATTTTGGATGGAATTGGGTAGCTTCTGCTGAAATATAGTCATAATTTGGGTGTGTTTCAATTTTTGCAGACACTTTCAAGTTAATATGAATTTATATATATTTTCATAAGTTAAATGCCATTAATGATCTTTGCTGACAAACACAAAATGTCCTTTTTCATTAAGTGATCATTATTCAGTAACAGAAAATGACAAGAAAAGTCAAAGATTAAAGATCCGTTGATGGATAGATTCCCCAGGGATTTGCATCAAGTACCACCCCCAGTTCCGTCAGTGTAGCGTGTTTCGTTGATGCCACGCAATAACGTGTTACTTGCATTATAGAAAGTGGTGGTATTAATTCTGAACATGAAGACAGGTGACATTTCTTGGTTATTTTTACAAAAGGAGTAGTTAGACCAGAACAGTATCATGTTCAGATTAATCATCTACTTTAGAGACTAGTGTTCCTTGAAATTTTACACTGAGAGAGTTGAAAGCATTGCATGGCCAGATTAATCAGATTTACCTACTAATCAGAGATTTCTTCTTGGGTGCTTTCTTGATGCACAGAAACTGTGTAATGTAGACACCATCTTATCCTGCGTACAGCATGTTCTTCTTCATGAAGGTGTAATTCAGGTTTGTGAGGTTTTGAAAAAGCTTAAACTATATCAACTACTAAGTTAGGAGTAACCCCCAGCTTTAGGATTGTATTCGTTTTGACAGTAGATTAAAAGCAATGTAAATATAGATATTGACTTAATAAAGGACAGTACTTTGATACTAAATATCATGTTAAGCATAGGCACTTGGAATTGATTACAAAGTATATTCCCTAGCCAGTTTGAAATTTTTATTTTTAACTCTTTTCTCATTTCTACAGGTTCTCTGAAATTAAACCAGGGTGCTTGAAAGTCATGCTAAAGTAAAATAAACATCCTTGACTTAGAAGTGTGAAGGTTTGTAGGTTAAAATTAGTTTTATTTGCAGTACTTCAGTCAGTTCTACTTTAAACATGTGTTTTATCGGAAATGTTGTTATGAGACACAAAAAATTACATTTTTCAAAATTCAGGAGATGTTTAATTTTTTACTGAATCAAATGCCAAATAATGTTACCTGTTAAAAATATTAGAGGATTTTTATTGATTACAAAAAGTCTAAGAAAAAATTATCAGCTGCAATTTTAAAGTTTGAAGTGCTCTGATTGTTTCTCAGAGAGAAAATGTTACCTTTGTATTAATTGTTGTTTGACATTTAGTAAAGTCCTAAAGGTTTCTATGAGAGGTATTTTAAGTGCTTTGATATCTAGTCCATGCCCTTCAAAAGCTTGTATTAAAAGAAGAGAAAGAAGTCGTAGTAGTAGTAGTAGTAAAGAAAGAAAGGAGATCTAACAAATACACTTGAATACTTTTTGCTTTTAAAACTAAACACATGAAACCATTTCATTTTGCCATATCCTACAGGAAGGAAGGCATGCTCTTGTACTTTCTTCCGCTTTGTACAGATCTTGATCTCTTACTTTTTGTTCTCTTCTTCTGTATGTGTGCATTTTATGGGAGGAGCATTGGGTCTGAGATTACATTGCAGTTTTATACCTTTCCTAGGCAGAAAAATTTTCAGAGAAGGAGAAATGGTTAGATATCTATCAACTGTTGCTGCCATTTAGAACTGCTTCTAGAACTATGGATTTCTAAATAGTTATATTTGAGGATGCAATTTCTAAACTGCATTAGGTCATAATCTTATTAACTTAAAACAAATGTAGAAAATGTTTTGGGTATAATCGTAAAAGGAATCATTAGAATTTAAAAGATTTTTACCTTTATTTTGAAAAAGCTAACTTTCTGAAAGGAAACTTTCATTGACTTCTATTGTTTGGTTAGTTAATGAATCTGGTTAGTGTGTTTACAATCTCCTTTATGCAGGTTTAATGTGGTAAAGTATAATTTTCTAATGTGAGACAATGGCTTAAACAAATTCGACTTCAGATATGGAGAATATTTTCAACTTATATAATTTTAGCAAACAATTATGTTGATTCTTGTTAAGCTTAAAGAATCATTTGAATAAGGAATTATAGGATTGAGCTGGTACTGAAAAGAATCCTAAAATACAGAATGGTTTCCCAAAGGAGCAAACATTTTAATGAAAATAAAACTCAAAAACACTTGTTTTTATATGTTATAAATGCATGCTTTTAAAAGAAGAGCCTTATTATTGAATTTTATTTCCATAAAAATGAGAATAAGTGTTTATTATTTTAAAATGATTAGTGATTAATATTGAAGTATTATTCACATTCTTCACATAGTTTAGCACAGTTTTTTGGAATCTTTAGAACAGTTCTATACATTAAAAATAAAGCAATTCCTTTCAACAATTTGTTAATGAAATAAAATATTCTTGTGTATAAATTAATATGGTTTAAGAATATGAAAAACAATGCCAAAACCTGCAGTTATTGGAGTGTATGCATCTGCATTCTCATTTTCTGTGTTTTTATATTTTCTCATCTGATTTAAAAAAATCACTTTTGAGCACTTCAGCTAGACTTATTTCAATAGTATCATGATTAATGAGGGAATAGTCAAATGAATTAGAGATGTGGTATTCTGAGGACAGAAATCAAAGGAAAAAGGCTATGTTTTATCCAGTATCAACTTTGATCTTATGCTTTATTTTGGTAAATCTAACAGTATTTCTTAATCATTATTCATAAGCATACAGGCAAAGTTTGAGCATTTTAATGCAGTTGTTTAATTTCAGACTGCCTCCTACCCACTATCTAGCATAGTTTAAACAACACATACTTATGAAAGAACATTTTATATAACCCCTCCTCCTTTGCCCATTTCTAAATCCTGTACATCAAAGATAGTTTGGAGATTGTTAAACTTTTCATATATTGGTACAGGTTGAGTATCCTTTATGCTCCAAAATCTGAAACTTTCTGAGCATGGACATGGCACACAAAGGGTATGCTTACCGGAACATTTCAGATTTCAGATTTTCAGATTAGGGATGCTAAACTGGTAAGTATCATGCAAATATTCCAAAATCTGAAAAAATCAGAAATGCAAAACACTTCTGATCCCAAGCATTTTGGATAAGGGATACTTAACCTGTATATTTGTGTGAATACATGACTCATTAGAATGCTCTTTGTAAACTTAATATTTTAAAAGTACAGCACTTCTGTAGTTAGGAAGGTTTTAGTAAAAACCTTCCCAAAAAAGAGAGAGAGAGAGAACTATAATGTGGAAACCACAGAGGGTGCGTAGTTGGACCAGAGGGACTCTTAACAGTATTTTCAATCTGTCCATCTCTTTATTCCAATGTGAGAAATGGAAGCATGTTTTCTTACATTTATTGGCTGTTCATAATATCTCTATATTATTTTCGAGTTGAAGTGTCTTCAATTTGTTAGTATTTCCATACTGCTTATAATTCTATGGCCTTTAAATATAAGACATATTTTATATAGTAGAAATTGTGACTTTAAAGTGTCTTGTGTATTAATGTTATAATACTTTTTAAGAAGGAAAAACTATACCATTCTTCTGGATAGTTTCTAGTCCTTTATTTTGGTCTTTTTCTTTTTGAATTCAAGTGTTTTGTATGCTTAGAAAAAGGACATGTAAAATAATGAGATTGGTTATTTCTGAGCTGGAAATTGGAAACTTTTGAAACTCAGGAAATTGCTCTGACAATGTTTTAACTGCTCTCAATTTAAGAAAATGACAAAACATATAAAAAAAGACAAAAATAATGTGTGCCGTTTTTTCCAAGTGCTTTTTTAAAGTGCTTTTCCATTGTGCAATGAGGTGAAATTTGATAATTTTTCTTGTGTAGTGGCTAAATATTATTGCTTATTTTTATTTACATGTGAAGAAAGCAGATTTAAATGTTTGTGTGGCCAAAAGAGTGTCATTCAAAAGGTGTAAAAGTAAGTTTATGTAGAATGTATGTTAATGGTGCTTATTTTTAAAATGTAATTCAAGTTTACATTATTACTTAATGCTTCTTTACAGAATTTAATAGAGAAACAAGGCTAGAACACATCTACATTCTGAAGAGCCTTTTATAACTTCACATTATATGATGAAAAAGTGTATTATTTTCCTTAAAGTTGAGCAGTTGTCTTTTATGGTCTAAGTGATGAACCTATCATCAATAAATGATTGAATTAACCATGAGACTTCTCACTAAAATATAGTATTGCAGCTATCAGTTGGAGAAAATATTTAAAAATTTTCAGGCAGTATATCAGAAACAAAATGTTTTTATTTGTACTATAAAGAAAATGTAATTTTGCTGTTAACTCTGTATTTTTTTTATTGAAAATATTTTATAACTTTGCTTTTAAAATTTCTTATGAAACCATTTGCAGATTACATTCTTAATTTAATAAAATACTTTAGTCACAGTCCAGTGTGAGGAAATCATTCATTTGATGTGGTAGGGTTAGTGGTTTAAATATTAAAAAATATTTTTATGTGTAACTTTGTAATTTCAGAGGAGAATGATCATAAAAATTTCATTTCTGTACCACAGCTTTTCTTCTAGTTTAAATTATTTTGCTGTAGTAAATTAGGAGTCAGTTAAAATGGATTAGCTATGGTTTCTCTCTTCCCACCCTATATCTTTTGACTGGTATCAAAATTAATAATTATGTCTGTTAGGGACTCAAGTGATATTTTAAATAACATTAAGGACCTTTGAACTTCATTCAGCTCCAAAGCAGAATAATTCACTCATTTAGCAAAGACTTAAAAATATTTATTCAACAAATATTTATTGAGTACTCTTCACTAGGGTTACAGTATGAGACAGAGCTTTTATGCACAGTTATCTTATTATTGTTCTTATCAACAGTTATGTATACTAGTGTTTATACTATGGAATACTTTCATATACGTTATATTTTAAATCTCAAGAGAATTTTATTACGTAGGTGGTGCTATCCCAGTTTAATGAATAAAGCCACGTGGTCTTAGAGAAGTTAACTGGTTTGCCAGTTAGGAGCAGAGGCACATCTCAGGCCTTGGTTCTCTGACTGCCGATAATAGAGCAGCTGCAGCTGTCACAAGAGAATAGTCACTTAATAAAGAGATAATTTCTATCATCCCCTTCTGAGAGAGATGTGGCCCCACAGTATATGTCTTTGAACATCTGCCGTTTATGAGTTTGCCTTTTTCCTTTATCCAAAGGAAGCTGGTATTTTGGAAAAACTCATAATACCAATGGCAAAAAATACAAGTTTATTTCTCTCTTCACATAAAATCTCAGAGGTAAAGAATCCAGGACTGATGGGAATCCTCTTTTCCACGAAGCTTTTGGGCATCTAGCACAGTTCACCATTCTGCCATACCCAGGGTATGGCCCTCATTTTCCTACGCCAGGGTGGGTGGCTAGAGTTCTAACCATCACCTCTGTGTTCTACTGGAGGAAGGACAATGACAAAGTAGCAAAGGGCAAGTGCCCGCAGTCTTAAAAATGATTTTTGGAAGCTGCCATAGGTCATTTCTACTTACTTCCTATTGGCCAGAACTTAGTCGTGCCACACCTAGCTGCAGAGGAGGCTAAGGAATTGTCTATTTCAGACTGCCGTGTGTCCTGCTGAAATGCGAGTGCGTGCTCTTTCGGAGGAAAGAGGAATGGGTATGAGGGAAGTGTCAGTCTCTGCCACATCATTTTTGATCATTATGTGCAAATAATGTGAAAATTAGTTCTTGATATATTACTTCAGCAGATCTTCGTTGATGACTTCCATGTACTAGGAATAATAAAAAGGAAATCACCGTTGTATGTGTTTTAACTTTAAATATTCAAATGATATGGCTGTTGAAATGGACTTTCAGTTGATGACTTAACTGCTAATGGGATCACTTTTGATCTCGTAACTCATCATGGCAACTAGATTAGGTATGTAAGTTAT